TTTTTTCTCTTTCATACTGTAATCCCTTAAAAATAGGGCTAAATATTAGTTTTGATGTATATAGCATTTGATTTTAAGGGAGGAACATTCTCCATTTTCACACTCATCCATGGGTTTAAGCCACCAATAAAGTACTTTTAAATTCTGGATCTAGTGATAAGATACTTCACAAGTATAATGGTACAATATTTGACATAAGTTTCTGATAATAATAGCATGCTGGCCTGTCTTTCTATATGAACCTTTTAAATATTATTTTCAAAGATTTGTTCTATACTGGACATTCTTTATTTCTAACTGTACACACTCTTATTTGGGGAATAAGCCACTTCTGGGACGTTACCTGAATCTACCCTACACCCAATTCTCTGTTTCCTAAGGTTCACTACCAAATAACCAAAATATAAACCATCTGACTCTTTTTGGATAAGCAACAAGATCTTCAACTCAATATGGCAACGTTGAACTCATTTTAAACAACACCCCAGCTTCACTCTTACCAATTTGTTTCATGCTTTCATCACCTTACCTGAATTACTGCACCTTTCTTTATGCTTGATGTAGTTCTCTATTACAATAGTCCGTTTTTAATACATATTTTTCTAAAGCATGAGTGCATGCATTTTCTAAAAAGGCAAATTTCATCATCCTATTCCCTTGCTTAAAATCCCTAAAAAGCTATCCAGTTTTGTTTTTTTTTTTTTGAGAGATCAAACTTAAAGTTGACATACAAAGGCCTGCATGATTTGGCCTTTCCTATTTCTCTAGACATGGAGTCAGACTTGATTGGGCCATGTTAAAGTATGGAGGTACTGGGCAGATTTCTCCATCTGTCAAAAGAAGATAGTAATGCTTATCACAAGGAGCTAACAGCGTATAAAGTCCCAAGAGTACTGTACTGCCTGGCTTAGACTTAATACATACTGCTGTTGCAGAAGAACAAAATATTGTTTACTGTATATATGTGTTTAGGCTTTGCTGCTTTCTCAAAGGATCCTCTGAGGTTCGTCTGATTGGGTAACGTTTTCATATAAATGGGACTCCCTTCTCATTAAAAAAAAAAACAGAGAAAAGGGAGAAAGAGATTGATTTGAATAGATTGAGAAGGTTGGAGGTGAAATCCTTAGTGACTGGAAGATGAAAAAACACCCATAGAACTGGTTGTTTGGGTTTTTTTGTGTGTGGGGGGTTAGATAGGGGTGGGAGTAAAGTTTAAGAAAAAGATTTGAGAGAAGCCACCTGTCAGAATAAACGGGGTTCTGGCGAGAGAAATGTTATGGGTGAAGATCTTTAGGACGTTTTTCGAACCCCTACCCGGTGCCCTGCACTTTCAGTTACCTTGACAGTTTTATAGTTGGAATATTTACATTTCTTTAGAATTTGACAGTAGTTTGAGTTTGGCCATGAACTAGTCCAATTATATTCCAGTTATATTCAATTATTTGCCTTTTATGAACGTCCACCCCGTACCCTGTATTTTAACTCTGACGTCTCCTCGACATTCATTTAACAAATATTTGGGTGATCTCCTCTCTCCGTTTGCTGACCAACCTATTCTTTTCCACGGCTAGCCCCTAAACTCTTATATGATGATTTTTCTGACACCCGAGCTTTAAATTTGCCCCTCCCTTTTTTTGTGCAACCCAGTTCCCCGCCTCGGCTCAGTTGGATGTTGTACTCAGTTGTTCGGCTGTCATTCCTCTGGAGAGGCGCTTTATAAATCTACTAGCTTAGTGCATCTGGCACGAAGTAGATGCTTAGTAAATGTTTATTGAATGAGTGTCCTGTGCATCTCAGTGACATCACATCCTGCATGCAGTGGCGTCATTCTGCACTACTCTGCGGGAGGCTGAGAGGTTGGAGGGCTTACGTGGTTGTTTACAACTGGCCCGGAACGCCTCCCAGGCAGGCTGTGGTTGCAGACCGCACTGGAGCGCGGCCAGTGAGAGCGCTGGCTCCGGTCCACTAGCTCCCGGGACTCCAGCCTCGGCCGGAAACGGGCTGCCCGGCAGGTGGCGGCGCCGGGAGACCCTGGCACAGGAAGGTGCGCGGGCAGCCGCGGGCCGCTCACTTATCGCGGTGTTTCCTCCCTCTCCAGTCCCCCGGGGAGCTCTCGCGAGAGGAGCAAGGGGAAGATGGCCGTGCCCTGTTTTTCGGTGTGAGGCCGTGGCTGTGACGGCGAGACCGGGATTGTAGCGTCGTGGGCAGCTAGGCGGTAGCTCCCCCAGCGAGCGCGTGTCCCTTCGTACCTAGGCGAGAGCCAGCTCTTCTACCTCCGGGAGATGCGTTTGTCCCGGGCTCGGAGGTTCTCTGGGAGTTCATGCTGTGCTAGAGGCTCCCGGCCACCGCTCTAATCGCCTTGTGCCGCCGCAACTCGAGCTCCGTCGCTGGCGGTGAGCCTCCCGGATCCCCCCCTCGCCCCTTGCGGCGGCGATGACCGGGGAGAAGATCCGCTCACTGCGGAGGGACCACAAGCCCAGCAAAGAAGAGGGAGACCTGCTGGAGCCCGGGGATGAGGAAGCGGCGGCTGCCCTCGGCGGCACCTTTACCGGAGGCAGGACTGGCACGGGCGGCGGCGGCAAGGGCGGCAAAGCCTGTCATAAGATCTTCAGTAACCATCACCACCGGCTGCAGCTGAGGGCAGTTCCGGCCTCCTCCAATCCCCCCGGCGCCCCGGCCCTGCCGCTGTACAATTCCTCCGTGACTACCACCTCCCAGTCCCCAGCTCTTCTAGCCGGCACCATCCCCAGTGCTGTCGTCGCGGATGGAGGCACTTGCCCCGCACACTATCCGGTGCACGAGTGCGTCTTCAAGGGGGATGTGAGGAGACTGTCTTCTCTCATCCGCACGCACAATATCGGGCAGAAAGATAATCATGGTGAGGAGTGCTAGCCCCTCTCCACCTTCTTCCCTGAGCCTACGATGTGCCTCCCCAGGCCTCTAGAATCCTAGACTACCCCTCTTTCCTCTCCTTTGCCTGTTATCCGGGCCAAATGCCAGCAAATCACGACCAGTTCAGTAATAGCATGGCAGTGGTCAGGGGGTTGGTTCCTGTGGGTGCAAAGGAATGTTTCCTCCTTGCCCACTTCAGAGTTTCCTGTGAGAAGCTGTTTTGCTTATTTTTGAGACAGACGTTCGGTGTGCTGATTCTGGATTGTCAGAAATTTTAGGTTGCCTTTCATCCAACCTGGCCTTATTATTTTGTTTATGGAAGTGTGTATATTTTTCTTTCTCTTCCTCTCTCCTTGGGTTCTTTACTGTTGAACATAGAAATTGTCTCTTTTCCTTGCCATTATAGATCCCAACTTGAATGCAACCGGTTGTTGATTTCTACCTGACCTGAGGTTGTCTTTTCCTTTTTATCTGCTTTCTGGAAACTTAGAACGCTTTGATTTGTGAAAGTCACACGGTAGAAATTAGTTGGTATTTGATACCAAGAACAAGTAAAATTAATTCTCACTAGCTTATTTTTGTTGGAGTAGACATTTGATCTTTGTATGTTTTACATAGATAATTAGTAATAATAATGGCTCATCCTGATGACTATGACTAAAAACAGTATTGTGATTTTTAGCATAGTATATTTGTTATTGAAGGACTGTATTTCTACTTTTTGCTTTATTTTGTCAGCTGGATTTTTTGTTTCTTTCATTCCAAAAAATAATGGATTAAGTTGATTTTTAAGCAACAGTAAATTTATTAATGAAAACTAATATCCATGACATATTTAACATTTACTCATACGCCATTTTATTTATTTATTTATTTATTTACTTAGAGACAGTCTCACCGTGTCACCCTGGGTAGAGTGCCCTGGCAGCACAGCTCATAGCAACCTCCAACTCTTGGGCTTAAGTGATTCTCTTGCCTGAGCGTCCCATGTAGCTGGGACTACAGGCACCCACCACATCACCCGGCTATTTTTTGTTGCAGTTGTCACTGTTTAGCTGGCCCAGGCCAGGTTCTAATCCACCAGCCTCGGTGTATATGGCTGGCACCATAACCACTCTGCTATGGGCCCCCAGCCTATTATAGGCCATTTTAAACTGTGTTAGTTGGAAAATATTGTTGATCATTCTACTTTTCACTTAAGACAATTGTTATATACATTCAGTTAGAACACACTCAACTCTGTGCTCAAAATTAATTTTATTTTTTGTCAGTTTACTATTGTTGTAACCAACATGTCTTTATTGATGGTAATTACATTCTAACCCTTTGAAAACAGTTGTTAGTGGGAGATAGATTGTAGCCT